CAACTTATCAATATTTTAATTATCTGCTGAACAATCTCAAGAGAATAAAACCACAATTCTCACTACATACAAATTTTATTTGTGAGAAAACTATAATCTAAAATGCTATTATTATGCACATATAGAGAATGCTGGCTATAAAATTTTTATTCCCAGTATAAAAACTATAGTTTGTAAACAAGTATAACTATCACCCAAAGGATACACACAGTTGCCCAAAAGATTTTATATATCAGAGTTATATCAATTTCTAAGTTATTTAGAAAGAAACAAGTGAAACAAATCTATTTGATTTGTGAAAAGTTAGAATTTCTTGTGCAAAATATTGAAATGCAAAGAAAAGATTTTTAAAAACATTCACACAGTGACAAACAAGTTACAGACATAGGATAGCAAAATGTCAAAATATCAAAAAATCAAAACAAGAAAATAATCAAGATGGATTAGCTTAATAGGCTTCCTACATTTGAAGCAAAGTACAGTTTTTAAAGAGGCATATCTGCCTCATTTTGAAATCACAAAATGGCATCCACACACCAAACAATTTGCAGAAATAGTTTGTTGGTTTACAGAGCTTTTTTAAAAACTCAAATTACAAAATCACATTTCATATTTTTAAAATCTAGGGTTTTTTTCTGTTTTTCTTAAAAAGCCAAGCTTACATTCTTATAGAGCAGCAGGAAGCTGGAGTTCAGTAATTTCTGTCCTCATTACATAAGGCTTTCCAGTTTGCCACCTGTTTTACTAACCTATTGTACTCATTTACATTGCTAGCCTGCCCCCTATGGTCAAGCGAGCTCATAACCCCTATCCACTGCCAGGTAAAGTCAAGTAGTGAACGTGATCAATGGCAGAAGGGACTTTAAGATTGGACATCATTTGAGAGGTTCATTTGTTCACCTATTTATTCATTCACTCATTCATTTGTTCAACAAATATGTGGGTATTTGGTAAGTGCCAGATGCTGGGTTCAAATAAGAATATAAATACTTGAGACTTATTTTCAATGAGGTACTATGCAATCATACATCTGGAGGAACTTACCAAGGCGTATGAAACAGAGTTGAAGACATAATATTAGCAAACCATAGGAAATGAAATAAATTCAAAGGGTGCCATAATTTAAATGGTCCCAAAGGATGGAGAATTTAAAGAAAGAAGGGGTAGTCAACAATGTAAAATCATGGCTGAGAAGTGAAGTCCGATGAAGAAAAAAATAAAAAAGATCATTTCATGAGGTAAATAGCAAATCTCTGTTAACATTTAAGAGGGCACTTAGAGTAAACTAATAAAACCAGGTTCCATAGCAAGAAAGTGAGAATAAGAGCATAAGAAAGAGATGTGAGTGAAATGAGGGTGAGGGGTGGATGTGAAGGGAAAGAGTGGGGCTGGATGCAGACAGGGAGGTGAGTTGGGTATTTTTTAAGCTATGGGAGATGCCAAGTGAAAAGGACTGAATATGTGCAAAGGAAAGTCTTGGTACAAGAGAGTTCACAAGAATAACCATAATCTAGAAAGAATTCAATTTAGTTAAAGAATCATTAATTTAAATTTTGATTTTAGAGCAAAATTTGGCAACTTTACCATGAGCTACATCCACAAGGTTACTTCTTGGGATGAATTCTAGGAAGGTATTTTCACCATGAAAGTTTCTTTAATTGGCACCAACATTCAGTAACAATAAGCTACAAAAGAAAATCTGTTGATTCCCAATTAAGCCTTATTTTCTGGCATTCTACTTGTGACCTCAATGTTTATAAATATTTCTGGTTCTTTAGTTCTGTTGGAAATGACATTGTTTTCCACAGATATATTTAATCTTGGAACAATGAAATCAGGTGGCACCTTTCTATAAAATCCTCTACACATTTAATATTCAAAGGAAAGCAAGATTAAGGTACATATTATATATTTATACCAGAAAGATAATGTTTATTTCACTCTTCTGTAGACCTACACCAAACATACTACTTCTTCCAATTTTGACATTGAAAAAAATCTAATGGCAACTACATGTTCATCAGGTAAGGATCAAATAAACTCAGTAAGAGAAAAAAGGAAAGTTGAGTGTAGTTAGTTCTGAATTTTCATAAGGTAATATAGTCCGGGTAAGATGACTTATCAGGATATCTTTATTTCACTTATGAAGCTGTGAAATAATAAGAAAGGAAATAAAACCTGCCATCTGATTGTGGTTTAAAAAACAATAATTCCATAAGTTACTTCTTAGAAGTACTTCGAAGCAAAAGGCTCATAATGTAATTTTTTAAATGAAGGCACAATTTGAAATGAAAACAAAACTGACTGTTCCCATATGCTAGGAATAAATTACGTCACATTGCTCTCCCTCCCTAGGAGACGCTCCTACACCCGAAATTCGATAGAAAAATAAATGTTTATTGGTTGTTGCTTATTCAAGCAGTGTATATACATACAGCACTGAATGTTGAAAAGACTCATCTATATTTAATAATAATTGAGATATACTGCCTATTGGAAAATGAGAGTAGGATACCCAGATATATTTGTCATGCATTCTGTAAAATGCATGGCAAAAAATCAATTCAATTTTTCCTCCATAATACATGAGAAGAACCCCCAAGTGCTTGCTTCTTGATGTCTTAGTTTAAAAATAGAGTATCAGTCTCACTGAAGTACACCTCTACAAGTCTAGCCTTCACAGCCTTTCCCATAGTGAATCCAAATGTACATTACTTCCACCTCCTCTTCCATCTCTACCACCATAAGAGTGATGACAACCACAACCTGGAAAAGCTTCACGTCCTGTGATGGTTGTGATGACAATAGCAGGCTATCTGGAGCTGCTGCTGCCATCATGCTTGCTGCAGCAGGGAGGCATGACTGGGTCTATACATCCATGGAGCCAGCAGGGGCTGGGGGTATGGGGAAGCCCCACCCCTTCTGAGTTGAGATGAGGGCTCACTGGTTGCCACTGCAGCTGCCCAAGCCATGGCTATGGACCCAGGCATGCCTGGGGCTGGGAGCAGGCAGGAGCTTTGTCCTCCTGGGTGGGGCTGCAACCACCCAAGTTGTGGGCAGACAGGGGGAGGCAGGCGCCCTTTTCTCTCAGGTGCAGCTACAGCTGCCCAAAGTCATGGTTGTGGATCCTGGGCTCATGTATGCTGTTGAGGGGCTAAGAGCTGGCAAGATCCTTACGCTCTCAGAGGCAGTTGGACCCAGGCACTTTTGTACTCTTGCAAGCTCAAAACTGCCCACTCCCACTGGCTGGCTTCTCTCTGCTTTTGGCTTCCATTCTGATCTTGGAGAAAAGTTGGGGCTGAGCCCAGGCACTGTCACAGCCCGACCAGGTGTGCATACAATCAGGGCAGTGCAGACCTGTCATTACTCTGCCACCTCAGCCCCCTCTGGACTTTGGGCACCAAAGATCATAGGAGGGAAACAAATAGTGGGCTGAGGGCAGCTTGGCGCTGGCCTGCAGGTGCCCTTTGACACCTACAGCCCCTTGGTGCCATGAACGCAGCAGGAGGCAAACAGGTTCCTGGGCAGAAGGGGGAAGGCCCCCAGTAAGGCCCCACCTTCAGGCCTAGGAGAGTCTGAAGGCTGGAGGCCAGGCTGCCAGTCCCATGGACTACAGTGGGAACTTGTGGTGCCTTTTCTGAGCCTGCTCATTGCTGCTCATGAGCCAATCAGCATGTACTTCCTCCCCTCTGAGGCCCATAAAAGCACTGAGCTTAGCCAGGGCAGAGCAGACATTGGGATGACCAGCTACAGAGAGGAACTACTCCCTCTAGGGCCTCCTCTATGCTGAGAGCTGCAGATGATGGGACAACCAGCTACAGAGAGGTGCTACCCTCTCTGCTGAGAACTAAACACTTGTTGGGATGACCTGCCTGCAAAGGGGAACTTCCCTCTCAGCTAGGAGCTGAATACTCATTGGGACACCTTGTCTATGGAGAAAGGCTGCCCACTGCAGGTTTTCTCTGAGCTATTCTATTGCTCAATAAAGCTCCTCTTTGTCTTGTTCAACCTCCACTTGTCTGCGAATCACATTTTTACTGGCCACAGGACAAGAACTCAGACCAACCAAATGGTGAGGCTAAAAGACTTGTAACACGAACAGGGCTGAAACATGCCCCTTGCTTGCCACATTGCAGGCAAACACAAGTAGAGAAGAGCTGCAGCCCTTTGGGAGACCCGGACCTGGGAGCTCCCTAAGCCAGGTCTGTGACTCACTCTCTGGGCTATGCAGTTCCTGGTGTCTCCAAGCTTCTGAGCACTAGCACATTCCCTTAGTGCCAGTGGGGGAAGCTGCTTGTGGTATGCCTGATCCAGCCGCAGCCTCACAAAGAGCTGGTGCTTGTGCCAGCACCTGGAGCTGCCCGCTTCAGGCAGCAGCCAGTTTGTTTGCCCACACAGTGGCTGGACCCCACGCTTGCTCACATGCCCCTCACCACTTCACACCTGACTTGCAGTCTCCCGTGGAGGTGTGGCAAGTTAGTAGTGTGAACTGAATGCAGCCTGCCAGGCTGAGTGGGCACAATGAGCCCAGTGGGCCTGGGCAAAACTCAAGCAAAGGCGCCACCAGCCACAGGTTTCCAGCCAGGAAAGTGACACCCCAAAGATCCTATAACAACTTTGTACAAACATGTTTAGGGATTTCAAAAATTTCAACCAACCATCTTATGATTCTGAGTGAAATCATTGCACAAAGTAAGTTTAGCAGGGACTTCTTCTCTTTGAAGTTGTTACAGAAATTGCAATTAAGGATACAAACCTGAAAATTTTTCTAATTAATATAACACTGGTTTATTAGAAATTAAGGAATTTATTCCACAACCTATTCAAACAGATTCCAAGTCCAGCTGAAAATAAATAAAAACTTATTTATTATCAGTGGTCTATATTTGATATTAGGATAAGCACTAAATAAAAAGTCTATTGTGCTAGGAACTCAAAATTTCAGACAGGAATTTACATAATACTCAAACAACAACCTGTATAACATGGGATCTACTTACCCCTGCAAGGCTTTCTCTCCAAACCAGTCTCCTTTTCCTAAAGTTCTAAGAAAGACTGGGTCCTCATTTGGTGAGTCTTCACGAGTGACATTTACCTACAAAAAGAAACAATGAAAGTTCAAATCTACTGCTTACCCACAATGATCAAAGCAACACTAATTAATAAAGTTAATTCCATTTCTTGTTTCTTTTCCTTGTTTATATTTATAAAAAAAGAGCACTATAAGGACCAAAGAACAATTATCAAAAATTCCCAGGAAAACCACAAGAGCTTACTTCCAAATATTGTTATCCTTTCAAGTTATTTTAAAGAAATAATACATTACTTGTTAATTTGATCTCACTCCTCATATCCATTCTAATTTTCCTACCTTTATGAAGCAACCACTATAATAAACTTGCTGATCATTCTGCCGATCTTTTTTATGTGTTTATATACATGTATTTTTAAAATATATTAATAACATAAGTGGTATTCATCATTCTGCAACTTACTTTTTCCTCTTAATATTGTTTTAATTATTTATTCCATGGTCTTAGATATAAATCTATTTCATTCATTTTCATGTATGAGTCTTATTTCATCATATAAACATATTTCCTTATCCATATCTTATAAATTGGCAACTATACTGTTTTCATTTTTTTTCTTTCTTTTTGCTGAAATGAACATCCTTCTACATGCCTCCACATTCATATCCTAGTTTCTCTATAATAAGCCTGCCCCTTTCCCTAACAAGGAACCAGCTTTCATTTGAAGACATATCACATTTTCATAAAGATTGATTGCATGGCTCTGACTGACTATATCCCTCATAATCTACATGCCTTTACTTGGTAGGATTTCTATTTCTAAAGATACATAAATTACATACATGCCCCTTTTTACTATAATAAATAATATATCCTTCAAAGAAAGTTGTCTTTCTTCAGCATTCTCCACAAATTGTAGTAAGCACTCAATAAATAGTTGTAAATTGTTTTAAAAGAATGTGTCATTACTAACAAGACAGATAGCTTGGCACACACAGGACTTGTGACTTAAGTGATAGTCCACATAAGGCAAGTGATAACTTTTTGTTGTTGTTGCATGAATGAAAACAAACATAGGGTCCCTTGTACCTTTGTGATAATTCACTTTCCCCTCAAGCTCTGCTAACATTCCTAAAACTGCCTATGTGTCATCCAGAAAGGTTAAATAATTAAAATTCACCTACCTGGAAAATGTGATAAAGTAAAAAAGCTAATTTCTTGAGACAATGCCAGACGCTTAAACACATTTAATAATACTATGCTTCAAGTTTCTGAATCTAGAGATTAGATGTTAAAGACAGGAATTTTTATAAGTATTAAGAAGGTCTGTGTAAGGGGAAGGAAATTCAATTATTATTCTCCACTGATCCATTTGATTACTCCTCCACACAGTGTTTCAAAACCATGAAAATTCAGTTTTTAACACCTTTACTTACTACTAAGCTGTATCATAGAGATACTAGTTTGCATGCTGATGAGGCTTTTTTAGATGTGGAATCTTCAGTAGGGAGTTTGATTTAAAATAAAGGTTACTGGGCCCTTATTCTTGAGGTTCTCATTCACCCATGTTCATATAAATAGCTGAAATTTATTTTCTTTGTTTAAACAGTATTCCATTTTATGTATTCATATGCAATTTACTAATTCTATAGATATAAATGTGGGTTGCTTCCAGTTTTATTTTTGTTTTATTTTGTTTTTATTGTGCTACTAACAGTATTACTGTGAACATTCTTATGCATGTGCTCTGGTGTCCATGGGTAAAAGTTCACTAGGGTAAACATTTACAAATAAAGAACAAGGTTATTAAATACATGCATCTTCAATTTCACTAGGTATCAACTCATTCATGGTACAGTCTTACATTCCTACCATCAGTGGGTGAAAAATGCATATCATATTATATTGTTATCAATAGTTAATATTGTCAGACTTTGATTTTTTTTTCCAAAAAGGCAGGTATTTGATGGCGTTTCCCTTATTATTAATAGAGGTGGAACATTTTATGATCTAATTTTTTGAGACACTTGTGTTTCTTTTGATGATGTGTCTGATCATGTTTTTTGTCCATTTTTCTATTTGACTGATCATCTTTATTTTTGTTGTTGTTGATTCACAAGACTATAGTTTGTCTAAACCATCTTTATGGTGTCTTGTTGAACAAATGTATAACTTTAATGTAATTACATTTAACCATGTTATCTTTTGTTGTTTGCATTTTAAAATATCTTATTCAAGTAATCCTTTCCTATCCCAAGATAATACAAATATTCTCCCAATTATCTTTTAATTTTTTTTCCTAATTTTTCTTTTCACATTTTATCTGAAGCTTACATTATGTATGGTGTAAATAGGGATCCAAGTTTATTTATGTCCCTATGCATAAACAATTGTTGTGTTATCTGTAGTGCCCATGACATCCTAAATCAAGTTTCCATATTATCATGGATCTTTATCTGGACTTACCATCTTATTCTGACATATTTATCTGGTTCTCAGTCACATTAAGGCCACATTTTTGCCCATTACCTGAACCTTACAATAAGCTTGATATCTACTATAGTAACTCCCAGTATGTTTCTCTTGCTTTCAGATGTCCTGCCATGTTGGTGTTTTGCTCTCCATTATATTATTTTAAATACAATTTTCTTCTTAAAAGACTTGAACATTTTCTTGTTATAGATATGCCTAGATACTTGATTTTTGAAATGGTATTTAAAAAAATACTTTAATTATATGTTATAGTATTTAGAAATGTACATGAATTTTTAAGTTATCATATAGTAAAATTTAGTTTTTTTCTTTTTCAGAATATAGCTGTATGAACTTAAATACATGGATAGCTTTGTCTAATTCCCAACAGATACAGATAGATTAGATACAGAACAATTTCGTCACCTCTAGAAACTCCTTCATGCTATGTCATATCCTTCACAATTCCTCACCCCTATAATCTGTTCTGCATCAAACTAATTTTTCTTTTTGAGAATACCATATAAATAGAATAATACAATATTTAAACTTTTCGGTCTTTTTTTTAATTCAGCATATTGAGTTGTATAGAGATATAGAACAGTTCCATTAATAAAGAAAAATGTTCTGAATAATGCTGATTTTGCTAAACTCTTAATTTTAATAATATATATATCTGTATAAAATCCTAAAAGAAACTAAAATCATATCATGTATAAGTTACTATTTATTTCTAAATAGTTATTTCTTTTTCACTACAGTAGTTGGGACGACTTGTACCACACTAAACAAAACTGGTAATAATGTATGTCTTTATCTTGTTCTTGATATTAAAAAAACGTTTCTCAGAGGTTTCAGCATAAGGTATATATAAACATATTTATAAATATGCAAATAAAATTTCCATAAGAGAACACTGTTTATGTTCAAAACCACTGAGCATTGTGTTAAGGCAACATGTTTAATTAGAATGTTTAAATACTTGTTAATTTTATGAAGTTAAGCCATGTGATTTTAAATGGCATTTAATAGACAAGAGTTTTTGAATCACATTCTTTCTAATAGTAGGGTATAAGATATATTGAATAGAATCAGAAAAATGAAAATGCCTTTGAACTATTATTAGAACTCTGCAACTTTGCTTACCCATCCTGTTCAATTTTGGTTTGATTTATTTGTAAAGAGATAGCTCATCTTGTGATGCGACACAACTACAGGGACATATGCAGGACTCTTTGGTGCTTTAAAGTTCACTGTTGGGGAAGCAAGTCACGTTTCCAGGCAACTGGAACGGACAGATTGAAGTATAGAGAACTAACTGAGCTTCTACTTGAGGCAGCATCAACTACTTTAGCCATTATCACTGCAAGCATTCTGCCTCAGGTTTTAGAAAAATCAGATTGCACAGGTTTAATGGGGAAAAACAAGTATTGCAAAGCTTATTTTATAATGCTTCTCTCTTTGTGTGAATGTGCTTAATGGAAGAATAAAAATTGTTTTACACTTAAATAAGTGGAACTGAACAAGGGGAATTTCATTTGTGGCTTGGCAGCCCCTGTTGTGTCTCCTTCTATCTCAGAGCATTTTCAAAGAAAAAGCCAGTTTGGTGGTAACAAGGAACAGGTCTTGGCCAAGGTTATCCTTTGTACATTTTTTTTAATGCATGGGAAAACAAGTTGACATCTGTAAACCTAAAATAAAACATATAATCTAGAAAATTCCAGATCTATAACTTATTTGTCTGCTGAACTGAACCTACTCTCTTATTATTCACCTCTCTTTCCTGCTCTTTGCCATTGGGACTTAGGTATGCTAACCTCACCTTCTGCTTCTTAAGACTTAATATATTCTAATTATTGTATATAGTGACATATTCTTAATGATTTTAATATATTAGAACTAATATAATATTGCTAATATATTAGTATTAGAATAAAATTAATACAATTATTATGTAATTGATGTAATTAAGAATCATAGCAGCTAACTTGTGTGACCTAAAAAAGTAAGTTAGTAGAAATTTATGTCTGGTTTAAAATAAAAGAGATCTGGAATGTGTCAAGAGAGTCTAATATATTAGTACTGCTTCTCTCCCAGAAATCCCACAGTGCTCTGAAATATTCCCAAGAGAATGCATTCCTGTGGTGTAATTTCCACACTGTTTCTACTTATACTAACATCATAACATGTAAAAAGGCACCACTAATGCAACCGTCTTCGGCTGAAACTGATTACAAAGCACTACTTTTAGGCAGTAAAATTTGCACTAACAGGGTGGTAACAAAAGCCTGTCAGAAATCCATCTCAAAGGATAAACACATCATTCCATGATAGCAAAGAATTAGCAATGTAGTAATGAAAAAATAAACTCAGAATATCAGGACAAATTCCCCATGCAACCTTCTGAGTCATTTATATCCATGGTATTTTTCAATTTTCCCTGATTCTTTAGTCAATCTAAACAATAAGAGAATAAATGATAATCTCTAACAATCTATCACATTAACTACAAAATATTAACATTTTCTTATCTTCTAACATTGGAAAATACAAAATACGATTTTTACTTTAACTGTGGTCAGACATGTCATTTCATGATGCCTTTTAAAAGGTCAGCCCTTGAGTTCTACTTCTACCCAGGCATTCATTAATCACTCAAAAAATAGGAAAAATAAAAGCATAAATGTTGTTTTCTTCATTTTAGTGTGACACGCCATTGGTATAAACATTGACATATGCATATATTTGATCCAAAATTAGTCCAAAGAGAATTATCTAAATTGTGATTCAACAATACTTATAATCTTCCACCACACTCTATTCACTGTGGCTCTAAATCTCTCTATATATGAGCTATGTTACCAGAGTCAGTCATTTTGTTAAATTAGAAAAAATAAATTGACTTTATTTATAAAGTGATTATTATAAAAACAGAAAGTGGCATATCAATTCCATTTTTGTATTTCCTTCTTCATCTCTTTCTATAGTTAGTACATCCAGAGATAAAAATTCCTTGTAATGATACATAACAAAGGAAAATAAGTTTAAATCACAGGTTATAGTGTAATGACACAAACACAAAAATGATTACAGCTTTAATGTGGCAAGAAATTTAAGGTACTTTTAGTAATATAATAGCATAGTATTCATCTAAAAAATTGAATTTTCCAATTCAATCCATTTCTTAGTTTTAAGACATAAATAAATTTATATTGTTGAAAAACTAAATTGGTTTAAACAGTTTAAGAAATAAAGTATGATTTTTCACTCATAATCCTTGTCTGTCCCATTTTAACCCTTTCCTTTATAATTTATCACTTTTCGTAGTTTTTAATATCAATTTTTTTATGAAAATAACTTCAAACATTAATATATATATATATATATATATATATATATATATATATCTCCTAATCATCCTCAAAGTATTCAGCAACTTTCCAAAGGGCACTAAAATGACTGTTTCGTAACAGGATTAAAATTTAGGACATCTAATTTCAAAGTCCAGGTGTTTCATTATAGCAATGTCACTGCTTCTAATGACTAGATGAATTTTGTAAGTGATCTAAGTATTTTTTTTTCCCCTTTGGAGGCACAGGCTTGCTCTATTACCCAGGTTGAAGTACAGTGGCACCATCTTGGCTCACTGCAACCTTCACCTCTTGGGCTCAAGTTATCCTCCTGCCTCAGCCTCCCAAGTAGCTGAGACCACAGGCATGTGCCACCATGCCCAGTTAATTTTTTGCATTTGTAGTTTAGATGGGGTTTTGCCACATTGCCCAGGCTGGTTTCAAACTCCTGACCTCAGGTGATCTGCCTGCCTCCGCCTCCCAAAGTGCTGGGATTACAGGCATAAGCCACTGCATCCAGCCAGTATTTTCTTTTTCATTATATTATTTTAATTATGGAGATCTTTCTATTCACACAAATATACCAGTGTCATCTAATATTATGATTATTAGCAAGTAGGCTACTCTCTGATGTTCAAAGTTACACCTTTTTTTCCCTCCTGCATCATTTTTTGTAAAATCCATTCTCGAATACCTCTCTGTGTCAAAAAACGAAACAAACTCATACAGCACAAGACTCTGCATGTGTTCCTACTGGAGTTATTAACCAACACCAGGCTCCCCTACTGCATCATTGTCTTGTGCCCCCAAAGCTTACCGTTCCTTTGCTGATGATAAAGAAGGTGTCCCCTCTTGCACCTTGCCTGATAATATATTCTCCATTTTCATAGTGGGTCTGAAAAGTAGAAACAATAAGAAAAAAAATTAAGCAAGGAGTAAGCTACCAAACAGCTCAGCCTCTTCAAATATCAACCCCTAGGGATACATTCATCCTGATAGAATTTTATACCAGCCTAGTAACCATCACAATTTATATTGAATATTAGTCAATGTATGCAATAATTACAGAGATTTCATTTCTATAATGCTCATTTGCAAGACTGCTTTTAATGTCATTTTTCTAGGTGACTGTATCATATCCTTAAATTCATTCATTTTAATTATTTGATGAAAACATTTTTTTCTCCCATCAACTGAGCATGAAACAAAATAGCAGAGCTGCTAATTAAACTACTCATTCTATATTATTTGTCATTCTCATTTGGTTTTAATAGTCTCATAATGAGAATCTTTTTTCCCTAAGAAATTACTACAGCATGTAAAAATCTTCATTTGAAACCAGGTTGACTTTTAGTGTGGGTTACATGGCCCTAGTTACTTTTAAAGGCACCACTTTATGCTTTAGTGTTCTTGCTTCAGCAGTTTAGATTTGGCCCTGTCAAACAGAATGTCTTCATTTTATGGACTGAATTCTGGTCCAGCATCTGTGAGCTTATAAACTATCAAACGAGGAGTGAGGTAAGGCTGCAAGAGGATTATCACAATCAGTATGTCAATATTCTGACACAAACACCACAACTATGTCCGTTCCCAGGGTGAAGATTACTTCTGTAATGAACAAAAGTAATTTCAATAAGGAGAGGTGAGAGAAAATACTGCTGGGTCAAGAGGTCTAACAGAAAAATGTGAACTCTGCCATCTGGCCCTATCCTTTTCTGCAGCATAGCACAGAAGCTATATTTTGGGAAATAAAAGGCTGATGGTTGTTATTTGCCTTATGCTTCAATACCATTTTTCTTAACACATAAAGTGTTAAGATTGCCTTAAATTGCCTTTAATTAACACTTGACATTGAGAAGAACCATTTTTTTAGAGTTTCTAGAAAGTTAAGATACTACCTAATTTGCTAATTTATTTTTTACTCAAAAGTAATTCATTTTGCTAGTAACAAGATTTTTAAGGAAAAAAGATATTCCTTATCTTTTCCCTCAATTTCAACCACCAGATGATATACAGAGTCTGGTATGTACCCTTCAAGGCTTTTTTTTTCTATGGTTTTAACCACCACTGCCCCACCTTGCACACACACATGCATACACATAATTATTTCTAAATAAGATTACAGAATGCGTATTCTTCAATTGATTTATTTAAGAAGATATCTATGTTCAATTTTCATGTTTTACAGCACTAAAAAAGAAAGAACTTTACAACATGCAGATTTGATGAACAAAATTGCAAGGTCCACCTTCATGTATTCATTGAACAAATACTTTTCGAGACAGGGTCTCATTCTATTGCTCAGGCTGCAGTACAGTGGCCCAATCATGGCTCATGGCAGCCCTGATCTCCCAGGCTCAAGTGATGCTCCCAGCTCAACCTCGGATATGGTTTGGCTGTGTCCACACCAAAATCTCATCTTAAATTGTAGCTTTCGTAATTCCCACAGGTTGCGGGAGGGACCTATGGGAGATAAGTGAATCATGGGGACAGTTTCTCCCATATTGTTTTTGTGGTAGTGAATAAGCTTCATGAGATCTGATAGTTTTATAGGAGGTTTCCCCTTTTGTTTGGTTCTCATTCTCTCTTGTCCACTACCATGTAAGACGTGCTTTTTGCCTTCTGCCATGATTGTGAGGCCTCCCCAACCATGTGGAATTGTGAGTCCATTAAACTTCTTTTTCTTTATAAATTACCCAGTCTCAGGTATGTCTTTATCAGCAGCATGAAAACAAACTAATAAATTGGTACTGGGAATGAGGGGCTGCTGTAAAGATACCCAAAAATGTGAAAGTGACTTTGGAACTAGATAACACCCAGACATTGGAACAGTCTGGAGGACTCTCAGAAGAAGACATGAAAATGTGAGAAAGTTTCCTAGAAACTTGGAGGGCTCAGAAGACAGAAAGATGTGGGAAAGATTGGAACTTCCTAGAGACTTACTGAATTGCTTTGACCAAAATGCTGATACAACTTGCAGCAAGATGATATGATGAAAAAGAAAAACCTGTTTTCTGAGAAGAAATTCAAGTTGGCTGCAGAAATTGGCATAAGTAACAAGAAACCAAATGCTTAACGCCAAGACAATGGGGAAAGTTTCTCCAGGACATATCAGAGTCCTTTATGGCAGCCCCTCCCAACAGAAGCCCAGAGGCCTAGGAGGAATAAATGGTTTCATGGGCCAGGCCCAGGACCCCCCTGCTGTGTGAAGCCTAGCGACCTAGTGCCCTGCATCCCAGTTACTCTAGCACTGGCAGAAAGGGGCCAAGGTATAGCTCAGGCTGCAGCTTCAGAATGTACAAGCCCCAATGCTTGGCAGCTTCCATGTGGTGTTGACCCTGCAGGTGCACAGAAGTCGAGAATTGAGGTCTAGGAACCTCCGCCTAGATTTCAGAGGATGTATGGAAACACCTGGAAGTTTGCTGTAGAGGCAGAGCCCTCGTGAAGAACTTCTGCCAGGGCAGTGCTGAAGGGAAATGTGGAATGCGAGCACCCACGGAGAGTCCCCATTGCCCCATTGAGGCACTCCCTAGTGAAGCTGTGAGAAGAGGGCCACCATCCTCCAGATCCCAGAATGGTAGATCCACTGACAGCTTGCACAGTGTACCTGGAAAAGCCATAGACACTCAATACCAGCCCATGGAAGCAGTGAGAGAAAGGCAGTACTCTGCAAAGCCCCAGGGGCAGAGCTGCCCAAGACCATGGAAACCCATCTCATGCATCAGTGTGACCTGGATATGAGATATGGAGTCAAAGGAGATCATTTTGAAGCTCTAAGATTTTACTGCCCTTCTGGATTTTGAACTTGCATGGGACCTTTAACCCCTTCATTTTGGCCAATTTCTCCTATTTGGAATGGGCATATTTATCCAATGCCTGTATCCCCATTGTATCTAAGAAGTAACTAACTTGCTTTTGATTTTACAGGCTCATAGGCAGAAGGAACTTGCCCTGTCTCAGATAAGACTTTGGACTGTGGACTTTTGAGTTAATGCTAAAGTAAGTTAAGACTTTGGGAGACTGTTGGGAAGGCATGATTGGTTTTTAAATGTAAGGACATGAGATATGGGAGGGGTCGGTGTGGAATTATATGGTTTGGCTCTGTCTCCCAACTAAAATCTCAACTCAAACTGCAGTACCCACTCCCATGTGTTGTGGGAGGGACCTGGTGGGAGACAATTGAATCATTGGGCAGTTTCTCCTATACTGTTCTTGTGGTAGTGAATAAGACTCGAGATCTGATGGTTTTATAAGAGGTTTCCCCTCTGGCTCTCCTTTCTTGTCTGCCACCATGTAAATGTGCCCTTTGCCCTCTGCCATGATTGTGAGGCCTCCCCAGCCACTTAGAATCGTGAATCCACTGAACCTCTTTTTCTTTATAAATTACCCAGTCTTGGATATGTCTTTATCAGCAGTGTGAGAATGGGCTAATCCAGCCTCCCAAGTATCTGGGACCACAGATGCACACTACCATGACCAGCTAGCTTAATTTTTTTTTTTTTTTTTGGTAGAGATAGGTTTTCCCTACATGTGGCCCAGGCTGGCCTCAAACCCCTGGCTCAAGTGATCCTCCCACCTTGGCCTCCCCAAGTGTTAGGACTACAGGCATGAGCCAGTGTGCCTTTTCAGCAAACATTTTTGAGGGCCTCAAGGCCATGCCTTTTTATAGGCATTGATAATACAAAAATGAGTAGGGTAAAATCTCATAATAGTGAGGGAATGTATTCTCTTACTGGGTCCAAAAGGAGGTGTAGTTTTAAGGGCAAGATTTTCCCAGTGCCATGCCCCTGTCCCATCCAGGAGAGTCAATGGTTTATGTTTGAATTTCGTGGGAGCAGGAAGAAATTAAGAGTCAATCACCTCAGCAGAAGTTTAAAGGAACTCCTTTCATTGGCCAGAGGAACTTGGGAAGGTGGGAATCTCTCCCAGGATAAATTCCCCTGCTCCTTCACCCACGCCGGATTTCCAGCTCTCTGGAATCCCCTCCCACATGGTGGGAGCTCCCTTTCCCCTCTGGCATTTCCCCTCTGGAATCCCCTTCCACATTCTTCATGGAAGTCTTTCTCTTCTTCTCCTTTTCTTCTCTTTTCTCTACCTAAATAAAACCAACTTTCTGCAACACTTCTTGGGTCCAATATTTACTTTTATGAGTATATGGTGCACCTGCAGTGGTCCCATCGCTTATTCTTTAATAAGAGATTGGAGGCCAAGAACCCACAGCATTCTCTCGGGGGAGCTGTGCCTCACTAGCACCCAAGAAAAAACCTGGTTACAATAGCACTATCCACTGGAAATGTTCTATAACTGTATTGTCCAATATGGTAGCCACGAGACACATGGGGCTACTCAGCATTTGAAATATTACCAGTGTGACTGAGAAACTGAATTTTTTAATTTATTTAACTTTAATAAATTAAAGTTTAAATAGTCACACATAGCTAGTAGCTACTGTATTGGGTAGTAAAGGTAGTAACAGAGTTACAGTTGTAGCTTTGGGGCAAGGAGAAGAGGAGAACATCTTTCCCACTCTTGATATTTCCTTCCAGGTAAAGGAAGCTCAGTTAGTAAAACTAAATACTGTTCTCTCCCTCTTTCCTCACTCTGCACCAGTGGAGGTGGCCTGACTTATCTGACTGATAAACTTGGAAGTAAACAGCTATGTATGCTCAACTCAACTTCTCATCTCTTCCTCATGGGAGGGAGCTTCCCAGAGAGCGCTGGCATTGCTGCTTCTCCAGGAGAAGGCTCTTCTCTCCACCATAATGAAGTTTGCCTCTGTCTGAACTTCTGTGAAAGGGCAGGTAATTCTGCCCAATGATAGGGTTCAATTTGGAAAGACTAGTTGCTCTCACACATAAGCTACATCCTATAACCAGATTTTATTAGTAATAATGG